AACTGTAACAGGAACATTATTAGTAAACTTTTGACGATTCTAGCCTTCCATTCATTTATGTTTAAATATTACTTTATTGCTTACAGTATTGCTATATATTAATCTTTCTCACTCTATGGAAACTTAAAAAGAAAGGTTTTGTCTGGAGATACACTTCAGCCTTTTAATGGGAGATTATTTATTCTTCATCGGTCTCACCTTTTTTTTTGCCCACCTTTCCTCACTTTAAAACACATCAGTCAATTTTCAGCAAATAGATATATAAAAATACTTTTTGTGCCAATATGTTTAAACTTATAAAGTATTAATAAGATGTTAACATGTAAGATGAAGTCTTCCTCATTTTTCATTGTATTTCACAATCTATAAACATCTCACGTTACACGGTTTAATCATTTTCATTCTCTTTAGTTTTTTTTTTGTTTAGCTATTATCAAAGATTGTCCCTATTCACCCCTATGCATTTTTACCCAAATACATTTGTAATTAAAATCAATGGAAATGCATCCCAGCACATGCCCATGCAGTTCACTGTAACATGCGTTGTGTGTTTTTAATGCACATTTTAATAAACTTTGTATTAAATATTAATGTGCATCATGAAGCATATCAATCATTGGCATACGCGGTACGGCATTTCCATTGATTTAAAGACATTATCCTTGTAGTGAATAGGCCCTAAAGCAAACCTTTTGTTTTTCCCTCAATTTGTAAAGTGCCGATTCCCTCTATGCACTGCTATATGGTAAATATGGTGTAATAATAATAAATACAGACTATTAAAAGCCAGTAATTACTTACATTATGGTCAGCACCAACTAATTTGGTATTATGACAATGATGAAAGATATGGCTGTCATTGCTGAACCGTTGTGCTGGGGTCACCATGTATAATTACATTTGTTCCTTTGTCTGTTTTGTGAATGGCGATGGTTCCATTATTCCTAAATGTCTTTGCACATAGCAGGCACAGATGAATAGAGGTTACCCCTCCCCCGGATTTTCACAGTATCAGAGTGAAGCTGTGTCACCTCTGTCTGATTAATGTAATCTTATATGACGCGGGAGTTTTCTCTCTTATATTGTGAATGTGAGTAGAAGTAATCAGGATGTTCACAGAACATAACTCATTACACATTTCCCCTTCCATTTAATGCAAAGTGCTGTTCATCACATCCTTGTTTAGCTAGAAAATTATTGGATCGGTTTGGTGTAAAGGAAAACACCCAATTATAATTCATTTAATGCACCATTTATGCAAATTTAAAGTATATGTAATCCAATCACTAAATCCTCATATAAGCTTTTTCTTTTTGTTTTTTTCAAATTCTCTTTATTAATTTTAGCATAGGAAATACAAAACATGACCATATGGGGCATACCCCTGGCCATAAAATACAAAATGCAAAAAAATACAAGTACACAAGCAATTAACAACACCAACATAAAACATTCCTATGGTTCAGAACCAAAGAAAAGAAAATAGTCAGCCCATCTTGCCTACCCAAATCCCAAACCAACCAGGATACATTAGAACAGTAGATCATAGAAATAATACCACACAAGCATGAAAATACCCAATCCATGTCCCCCAGGTTGAAGCATCGTAAAGAAATCAGAGGGTAACACCAACGGAACAAAAAAATGTACAACACCAAAGTACATGAGGCTTGATCATAGATCCCAGACTTTATTAAACTTAGTCATACAACCCCTGGATTCATTAGTAACATGTTAAAGTATAATTCAAAGGATTACTTAAATTTGTTAAAAGCACCTGAAGCTACACAGTATGTACATATAAAATACCATAATTAGCTTAATTTCATTACATTAAAAGATCCAATATTTTACACAAATAATAGGTAAATTAAAGAACATATCAAAGAAATGTTAGCCCCACTTTGCTATTCCATGCTTGCAATGCACATATCACATCATTACTACAAATGGGCGCCATATACTTTCCATATCCTTTGTACAGACTGCTAATGTTGTCCGTCGTTAAGATGTGCTTGTCAAGATCTGTTGATAGAGAAAGTAGCTCTACGTGTAAACCGCTTCTTCAGGAGGAGGGCTACAACTATTTTAAAACACTATGAACATACATTTAGTAATTTCAAAATTAATGAACTTTATACATACATTGATACATGTTATCTTACATACAGAGCAGGATTGCAAAGTCCTTCCCAGTGAGCTTTCATTGATCCCCATTCACCCCTGGTGCGGATGAGGAGCCAGCAAGGAGGAACACACCTGAAGCACCAAAAGAGCGCCAACACATCAAAAACAGACCTATCTGCCTAAAAGTATTTTCTGAGTGTATTATGTGATTTTCAGGTAGATGGGTCCGATTTTTATGTGTTGTCGCTCTTTGGGCCGTTTCAGGTGTCTATGAACAATCTTTCAACTAAACCAGCCTTTTTTTTTTTTTTTTTTTTTACCCCAAAGGAATCCTTCAAATAATTTTCAGGTCTTGGAGAACCGATGCTAAAACCAATTAATGGGTGGGATCAATTGAAAATGGCCCCTTACATTGGTGGTCAGTGGCAAAATTTCACCCTTACAGACAGCTATAAATATCATTACTCTCAGGCCACTGCCGAGTAATGATGGCCCCCAAAACTATGCAGACACCATAAAGTGGGAAGTGAATCAGCCATAGCTCAAGGGACCCCTACCAAACCCTGGAGGAATCCTGGTTGAGAATGGCTGAACTAGACTGACATACTGAAGAAATGGAAGGATGGTGATCCTAATGAACACAATTGCATACATACATGGACAATTTGTGTCTGTATTTGATATCTAAAGTCTCGATAATGCTCTGTGATCTCTATTGCCTGACAGAGAAAACATGGTAAATGCTTACTGGATCTGCAATGAATTATATAGCATTCAGTTATTGTTTCTACTGATTTATCCTCTATCAAGCATCTTTATTTTAAAGCCTAATTACCAATTTGTGCCTAGGGGACCAGTGTAAGGGGTGGTTATTACGTAAGCCCCACTCCCGCAGGCTCCAAGCCTGGTGCCCACAGCCTCTTCCCCTCTGCGCTTCAGTGGTCGGAGGCCTGCTGACATCATCACATCTAATGCCTATAGCCCTGCATTATACGTGATGACACAGAGGGACAGGCCACAAGCCAAAGCAGAGGTGAGCACTGTCGGTTGACTGGGATTAGGTAAGTAAAATTCTTTATTTAAGACCCCTAGACAAAAAAAATACCAGTTAACCCTTAAAGTAAATAGCCCCACTGCAAGGGTAATTTTGAAAATATTTTAAAATAGAAATGTATTTAAAATGTTGATTCTACAAACAAAGTAAATAAATTGTACATATTGTTAGTTGAACAGGCTAAATGAGGGGAAAATGCTCAATTTCCCAATCCACGTTGAACAGCGTGGATGGAGGAATCTCCCGCTGCCGGTTATTGATGCTTAAATACCCACATGGTGACTGCGGCTAATTGGCTACAGTCACTTTTCAGCCAACAATTTTCTACTCCGCTCCATTGGTTTTTCATTCAAAGTATGTCGAGCTGGGAGGGGTCAAGAGGGCCACCCATGGTATGAATTTCAACTGATTCCATAGGAATCTAACAGTGTATGGCCAGCTTTAAAACGTTGAAGCACAGTAAAAATATTGGACCCCCCAGGAGCTATTTGCAATAACGTGTGTGTATGCACAGCACATTTGCACATTATGACACTCTTATCTTACAAAGTGCCCCCTCCAGTGCTGCAAAGTCCATGCTCCCCTCCATTGACAGTGTTTCATGTTTACCTTGTCTTGTTCTGGGTTCAGGTATGCATGGAAGCACAGAATCACTTTTACTTACCTGATCCCCATCTCCTTATGGTCAGTGCTCACCTCTTTCCCCTCCGCTCTGGCTAAGGACTGTCTGTCGGCACCCTAACTTCTGATGCAGGTCTATGGAAGCTATATCAGACCTTATGTCGTCATCGGCCCATAGATCATCGGAGCGTAAGGGAGGGAGCCAACAGGAGCAGGGATCAGGTAAGTAAAACAGCTCTTTCCGGTCCTCTAGGCATAAATGAGATGGGCTTTAAACGTTTTCCAGAATTTCCAAGTAGAGTGAAACATAAGCTGAGCTTGGGCCCATGTACGTATAATAAAATCAATAATATCTGAATGACACCATCATTGATTTAGTGTCCTTTCAGTACGCTAATCAATGTCGTTATTATCACCACAGTTACAGGTAGTAAGGTGAGGACAAGTGTGATAGGTTTACACAAATTACACACAAACAACATGTGTATTGAGCTCTTTAAATTGCCCCCCCTCTCCCCCTTCCCCTGTCATTCATTTACTGCAATCACCTGACGTGTAATAAGCACTAGGTGTTTATACCTTAGATTACATTAGCCATTGTCTCTGAAATGTATTGTTCACATTCCCAGCTGGAATCTACATTTACAAATAAAACACCAGCACTGTCGAATCCAAACAAACATTTAAACCAGGTGCTAGGATGAAAGGTAAAATCTATATTCACTGTAAAGGTAACATACTGTATAATGATATCCCTGCCTGTAAACTACACATGAAAGGGAAAAATACTTGAACAG